AACTGCTGATTAGAATTCAATTAATGTACTTAAACTTGTAGTTTCTATTTTGCTGGAAAAGACTGGCCTGTGAGTAAAATATAGTTGTCACATTAGAAGGCATAGAAGGAATAAGATGAGACGAGGCCTAAAAAGAAGCTGCTTGATTTTTCAGGAGCTAACAACAACAACAGTTACTGGTGAAACTGTCCACGGTACCCATTCCCTAACCTTGTAAACTATTAATTTGAAAGAGACATAAATACAACATCATTGCAGTTGGGGTGGAGGAGGGCAATTTGGAGTACTATAAAAGAGTAAACATTTACTCATAGGTTCAGTGGGTAAATTGCGAAGCATGGATTGTGGTAAGACAGAAAAAGACACCTTCTAAAGTAGGTCTAAGTTAAAGGCCCTCACTTTGAATGTTTTACTTCTTTCCCATTCTTAGTTTTAGCTTATGTATCTTGTGAGTCAGAAGCTCCTAGGGAAGAGGCACTGTTGAAATTTTGCCAAATTTAGGCACCTCTTAAAGAATGATAAACAGAAAGGAGAAACACCTTTAAATGCAGATGACAGAATGATATCTCTTAAAGATTTTATTTATTTATTTAACAGAGAGAGAGAGAACGCGCACAAGCTGGGGGAGCGGCAGGCAGAGAGAGAAGGCAGCTCCCCGCTCAGCAGGAAGCCTGATGTGGGATTTGATCCCAGGACTCTGGGATCATGACCTGAGCCAAAGGCAGACGCTTAACGGACTGAGCCACCCAGGCGTCCTGAGAATGACATCTCTTTAGTCATTCTTAAAATATTTTGTCCAGGTTTGTTTGTTTGTTTAAAAATTTATTTGAGAGAGAGGGAAAGTGAGAGAGCACGAGCAGAGTGGGAGCAGCAGAGGGAGAGGGAGAAGCAGACTCCCCGCTGAGCAGGGAGCCCAATGCAGGGCTTGATCCCAGGACCCTGGGATCATGACTCAAGCGGAAGGCAGATGCTCAAACAACTGAGCCACCAAGATGCCCCTTTGTCCAGGTTTAAAATGAAAATGAATTTCACGTCTAGAAAAGCAGGGATTCAGTTCTGTGTTGGTAAGATTTGTGATAGGTAGAGGGTAAAGACAAAAATCAGTTTAAATTGATATTAATGTTAGCAAGGTGAGAGGAAATTGGTTTTCTCAGAAACTCTTGATTAGAATGAAAATGGTCCAAATCTTTCTAGTAATTTGGCAACATCTACTATTAAAACTTAAAAGGTGCATAGTCTTAAGATTCTGCAGTTCAACTTCCAGAAAGTCCATCTACAGATATACTCACATTTGTAAAGAGGATATATGTACTAGGATGTTAATTGCAACAATGTTTGTGAATTAAAACCCTTGAAACTAATGTTCATCAACAGGTGATTGGTTAATTATACATTAAATACACAAAATTGGCACATTATGTATGTTAAAAAGAATAAGGTAAATCTACAAGCTGACATGAAAAGCAGTTTGAGCTATACTATTGATTGAAAAAGAAATTGCAAATTAGTATGTGGCTAAGAAAAAGGTGTGTAGTGGGTATAGTTACAGAAAACTGGAAGGATACATACCCCTAGGGAATAAGACTGGGTGAAGTAGAAAGTGTGACCTTTTACTTTATATACACTTTTTTTTACTGATGGAAAAACATTTTTTTTACATAGAATATATATAATTTTCATTAAAAATAACTTGAAGTGCTGAAAGTTACATTTTCATTTACTCTAAAATACCTATATTTTAAAAATATAACACAGTGACCACATCCTCGTATTTTGTCATTGTAAGGCAACAAGGGCATAATACTAGAAGAAAAATCCCAATTCTCTTACTGTATAGTCATGCTTCATACCCTGTTGGCCTCATTTTGTGGCAATCAAGTTATCCATAAATTAGGTGCTGTTGCATACCTTCTTTATGGTACTGACCTCCCTGTCTATGACCTAAGCCTCTTTGGCAAGTTCCAAAATGACTCTGCCCTATTCCTATGTTATTTCTCTGGGAGTACAAACTAAGGAACAATGTCATTTAGGTTGCTCAACTGGAAGTAGAAATTACATGCCAATCTCCCATGCTTTAAATCTTCATATGAACAACTCTTTCACAGGCATGTAATTATAGATAAAACAATGGTTCCCCAAGTGCAACCTAATGCTTAAAGTCAGGTGGCTGGCCAACTCTTCACGGATTAAGTGAAATATAATGAAAATGAACAAACTAAATGATTAATAGACTTCCTTTCAGCATGGCAAGTAGACTTTAGATTTTCTACATCATCAAACTTAAGTACTGTGTCAATTTTAAGTTATAGAAGGATGTTTAACATTTGACTGCCTGATACTGTGTAATACAAACCAAAAGGCAGGTTTTAATCCCAGCTTAACATTTAAAATTCCCATCAGACATAACTATCTTCTTCACTGCCTTCAATATGCTTAATTTAATTCAAAGGAGAAATACTATTTCTTAGTTTGCTATTTCAACTCACAATTTTGAGAAGTGTTTAATCCATGGTAAACTCTGATTGGATGAAAATTTTTATGGCCCTATGGGAATGCAGGCCTGAAACCAAGGAGGAAATTTAAAAATTCCTGTGTGTTAGTACTGCTCTAAATCTTTCATTACAAAGTTTATATTCTATTCTTTCCTCAGTATTTTATAAAATTTACTATTTCATGTGATAGGTTAAGTCCAACTCTAGTCCCACCTTTCAAAGGGGGCAAGTACTACAAAGAGCTAAAACAATTTGCTTCTAATTCCACTATAAGTCAAATGGGTAGATAATCACTCAGGTCTATCTTTTGCACACCAAGGTTACCTTTAGGTATTGATTATTTGGGACAGTAATAATGCTTAGGTATGTTGCAGTTGAACTCTTGAGGGTCTTTCCCCTACAGTTGAGCCCTTAAGATTCACTTCCCATTAATTATGATAATCTAACTGCAGGCTGAAGACGACAGAGTTGTTTTGTCTGGATACTTCTGTCTATACCAAACTAATGATCTGGAAACTAAAGGCTTTGAAGTATGTTCCCAACCCCCTTATTCATGGCCTTTTAGATTAAACTAATCGGAGGTCTTAAAATTAACTGCCTCATGGTGAACTGGAAAGGGCAGCACAGTGACTAATGCCATGCTGCTGATCTGGTCTGCCAGGAAATGTGAGTAGAGAAACAAGAGTATTGCCTTCTTTCTCTAGCAGGGCATATTATAATCTGTTGGCTTTAGGAACTAAAATCCTTTTGCTGGCTCTGAATTACCTAACTGGCACCTCCCGTCTAATCTAATCCAAATGGTTATTTTTCAAAGTTATTTCCTTATCCAAAAGCTTTACCTTGTGACTTTGAGGGTGAAGACTAACAGAAACAAATTAAATAGACTTAAAAAGCGAGGAATTGAATATTAAACAACTGCATATAGAATACATCTGTATATTGTGTGTGTGTGTGTATATATATGCAAAATACATTGTGTGTATATACACTTGTATGTGCATACACACACACACACGACTTTTGAACGAGACGGTCGGGGCACCAACCCTCCTGTATAGGCAAAAATCCTTGAATAACTCCTCCAAAACTTTACTACTGTTGATTAACCAGAGCCTTGCTAATAACTTAAAGTTAACACATACATTACATGCTATATGTTTTCTATACTGTATTCTTATAATAAAGTAAGTTAGAGGAAAGAAAATGTTAAGAAAACCATAAGGAAAATACACTTACAGTACCCTACTGTGTTTATGGGGAAAAAATCCACATACAAGAGGACCCCTGCAGGTCAAATCTGTGTTCAAGGGTCAGCTAAACCACATCTATTCATCTGTCCATTGATGGACACTTGGGTTATTTCTACATTTTGGCTATTGGGAATAATGTTCTATAAATATGGGTGTATAAATATGTGTCCCTGATTTCTTTTGGCAAGTGGAATCCCGGATCATACCATAAATCTGGGAAATTCTGACACATTCTACAACAGAGACAAACCTTGAGGATATTGTGCTAAGTCAAATAAGCCAGACAGGAAAGGAGAAATACTGTATGATTCCACTCATGAGGTACATAAAAATGGTTGTTAGTATTTTACCACAATAAAAAATAACTTTTTTGAAAAGTAAGAGGCTCCGTTGTAAATCTTGTAAGCCTCACATCTCTGGTGGGGTGCAACTCTTGGAGAGAAGCAAGCTAAGCCTTTTGCAGAGCAGCTTCTAGAGATTCTATAGAGGCAGGTTCAGAGCGGGAGGTGGGCTTGCGGACGTGTAAGGATATCTAGAGTCAACTGGGGTGTAGGGGGGAAACGGGATAACGTGAAAAGGAAGACATTCTAAACTTTTCACAAGGTTCATTTTCCTTAGGGATCTCCCCACCAGGATTAAGAATGCTTTCGTCACAGGAAATCCTTAAGGGTCTCTTTCCTTTCACAGCTCCCTCCCAGCCAAAAATTTCCATAACGTTAGGAGTTTCTCCCCTGCCCGCCCCTTTCTCTCACTGCACCCCTCAGACCCCGGTTCCCTAAAATTCCACCGAAGATGAGGCCTGTCCAAGGACACTCCAACCGCCAGTTGCTCCGGCCCCGCCCGCCAGACGCCAAAACGCGTCGGCGGGAGTCACGGCCCCGAGCGCCCCGGAAGTCGCCCCCTCAGGTGGGCGGAGACTCCCGGGCCTTGCGGCTTCGGATTGGCGGGAAGCTGCGGGATGATGCGTTACGCGCGGGATTCGGCCCCTCCCCTACGCTCCCGAGCGCGGAGAGCGTGGGGCGGGGCGGAGCGTGTGGTCCCTGGCGGCCATTACCCGGAACAATCCCCGGCCTCGGGTCAGGTGACCCTCGGCGGGGCTGGCGGGAGGGGGGAGGGGGAGGGAAGAGGGCGTGAAGAGGAAAGGGAAGGGAGGAGAGAGGAGAAGGGCGGAGTAGGAGGGAGGGGAAGGGGGCGGGGTGGGAGCGGGTCACGTGATTCGGCATGGAGGCGGTGGCGGCGGCCGGGAGGAGCTGCCGGGGCAGAAGCCGCACTTGTTAGTGTGGGGGGAGGAGGGGGCCGGGGGACGCCGACACCGTCACCCAGGGACGCCGAGTCGTGGGCGGGAGGGGGGGTGGGGGCGAGATCAGGCTCCGACCCCCGGCCGAGGGGATGAGGGGAGCATGGGCGCCAAGGAGTCACGGATCGGATTCCTCAGCTACGAGGAGGCGCTGAGGAGAGGTGAGGGGGGAGGGGTCTGGGCGAGCTGCGGGGGAGGCCAGCGACGGGCTGCCCCGAGGGTGGGTGACCGGGGAAGGGGAGGAGTGGTTGAGGGCGTGGGGCGCCAGAGGCGGAAGGGAAAGGAGGCCAGCGAATGGGGAATATTATTGGGGAGAAGGGTCGGGTGGGAGAAGTGTTTGGGAATGGGGACCGTATGGAGTGGGGAGAAGCTTTCCCAGAGAGAGGGGTGTCTGGTGCTGGTAGGGAAATGCCCGTGCTCTTTGGTGGCGTTGTTATCCTGGCTGTGTCCAGGGAAGTCCTCGCCCCCCTTTCTTGGGTGGCACCAGCCCTTCCAGCCCCCCTCATCCTTACTGCCATTTTCTCATATCACTCCTTCATAAAACCCGACAACATCCTGAGCTCGTACCCAACAGCCTTGGTTGCAAGGGAGAGGGGAGGCGGCTGCAAAGGCCTCTTCTCTTTTTGCTGCTGGAAGCCCCTTCCAATTGTGGAGTCTCCGCCTTTTCCGAGGGCCTTTGCCAGTCTCTAGGGGCTACCATCATCCACTTCTGCCACCCCCTCACCCTTTGAGCGACTGACTTTGATAAAAACGACCTGAAATTAAGTTGTATTTGAGGTGAGATGAGACTGGACAGCTGGTGTTGCCACAAGACCTTGTCTTGGGTTTCACCTCCTTAGACGCTGGCCAGAGCCTTACATTGCACTTGATCCCCAGTTCTCACCCCCTCCTCCCCGTAAAATGGCATTCGGAAATCCAGCATTCTGATATTGTGTTATAGCTCCCTTTAGAGACCGGCCTTGCTGCCAGTCCTAGCCTGCTGCTTATTGGCTCTGATGCACAGTGTGTTGTTAACAGCCCCAACCCCCTACCACTTACTCTGATACCGCTGTCCGTGATCACTACAGCACACGCTAACTGGAAGTGTCTGTTGCACAGTTTATGGCCAGAATGTGACTTAATTTTTCATGACTAGGATTTGAGTATGTGTGTGTGTGTATGTATGTATGCTTGTATTCTTGTCGACATTTAATGGATTTTCTTGGTAAGAAGTGAAACATTTAAGCAGGTTGGATGCTTGGCATTATTGTTAACAGGTTTCTAAGTCAAGAAACCAGCTATGCTCCAGGTGATGGTGTCAGTAGCTAAGGATACAAAATAAAAATTGGATTAAAAGACAGGCATTCAAAATGAGGATTTAGTAGTGAACTCTGTTCGTATGTAGGAAAAAAAGATAAATTCAGAGGGACATTACCAGAAAATAGGTACAGAATTTAGGTGTATTCATTGTGGCCTGGCCAGAATCACAAACATAAGCTTTTTCTTTTTTCTACCGAACAGTGTAATGATTGTTCTTACGGACAATCTCGCTTGAACTTTTTTCTCAATATGAGAAATATTCCAAATTCTTGATGTGTTTCCAGCTCTAGTAGGCTAGTCATTTCCGGGATGCTGTCGAGCCTGACAGGTCTGGCCTCAATTAGGCAATGGCTTACATGGCATGAAAGAGGACATCAGTCAAATTGGTTTACAGCTTCATGGTTCAGAAGTGTTCAGTTTCTTAAGTTTGTGGGTGATGTAGCTGGCATTAAAGGAATTCTAAAATTTACCTTTTATTAAACTCTACCTTGCTCACTCTCATATCAAACTAAGACTTCAGTACCTTTGTAAATATAAATGAAATTAATAGTTGGTGCATTTTTTTTTTAAAGATTTTATTTATTTATTTGACAGAGAGAGAGACAGCGAGAGCAGGAACACAAGCAGGGGGAGTGGGAGAGGGAGAAGCAGG